TGACCAGCGCAATCTACCAAGAGCAGCGCAAATTACCGTCTGCTTTAAGACATGCTTTTTTTGGCCGTTAAATAATGCCGCAAATACCAGTAAATTGACAAGTGCAAACCTTAGTAAATCACGTTGTGTGATTCATTTAAATACTCTCCTCCCATAAATTTAACGATCATAAGGGAAACTCCTACAAATGTATATTCAGTAAAGTGAGTAGCAAAAATAACTCTGTCCACACCTTTTCAGCACTAATTTCCCACTGCGTGTCTTTAGTAAATCCTGACAGTAGTTTTTTAACGCCAAATGAGGGTTTGCGCTGACGCAAACTGATAGTAAATCTGGCCCTAAGTCTGCTAAAAATCTTCTTAAATGCTTAAATCTCATTTGCAATTCTTGGATTTTTAACGTTTTTTGGAGCATATTAAGGTCAATTCTGTTATATTTCTTTCTTTGTGTCCAATAAAAAAAACAGGTTTGGAATGAAATGAAAGGATTAGTGAAAAGAAGTATTTTTGGGTGAACTATTCCTTTCAGCCAGCCGAAAGATGTTTCTTGGAAAAAAGTAGGAACATACAGCTGTATTTCTTACTTTTCTAGATCGGCACAACACATTTCCTACAGAGAGAGAAATGAAAACGTTCAGTGATATGTCTGTTCTCAGTCACCGTGGAACAGTTATCCACCAACAAAGCACAGCTGCTGGATCTGGCAGTTAAACATCACTTAAGTAAGATCTCCACTCAATGCCGAGGAAGGTTTTACTGTCAGATATAACAAAGTGTGTGGTGAAAAGAATCCCTGATGGACCCGCTGAAACTTTAGAAAAGCATTCATCCCTTCCACTCAGCTTTGTTCATACGAGCTCTTTCCCAAGACGACACCGATGCTGTTTGATCGAAACAGAGAATACTGCAAGATTTATGCTGTGTGCTTCTCAAGATCTTTTTTTAACCTAAAAATGTTGTCCTTCGAGGCATTTCCCTAAGTTTCTAAGTGATTAGGGTCTATATTTGAGTCAAGGGTCATGAGGGATGCCTTTAATTCAATCTAATTTCTGGAGATTTGCTGTTTATTTGAAGGGGACTGAGATTGAGATCACTGCTGGGAAGGGAAGGGGTTAAGGCCTCTGTACATGGCCGTGCTCAATCATGTTTCCCCTTACTCACTGCACAAATACCCATGGGCACACTTTCTTACATTGTGCTAAAGTTGTGGCTTTGGCCTGCAAGGCCTCAGCGTAGATCTTTCCCACACTCTCAGCAGGCCGTCATGTGCATGTTGAGCTCAGATGGAGGGAGGAGGGAGACCTCCAGCTTTATTGGCCAATGACCTGCAGCATATAGCTACATTTGCGCAGAGCATGGACCAATCAGAGAGCCAAGATAAGGGTCAGTTGACAATACTGTGCTTTAGCTCTGTTCTACTGCAGCTTCTGACTATACTGCATAGGGATGAATTTATTATGCCAATATTTCTATACATTTATATATAATGGTACTTTCAATGTTTTTGCCCATAACATTACATCACCCATAATGTGAAATGACTGAAAAAAATATAAAGGATCACTTGGTTCAGGATTACTAGCTTTGAAGTTAGTTCTTTTACTGAATTTTGTTTTGTTAGTTTCCACTCTGATTCTTTTAATTCCTGTATAGTTTTAGTTGTAACTATTTACTGTATTTAGTTTTCACTGACACTTTATTTAGTGTTTATTTTAGTTGTAGTATTTTTGGGCAACTAATGTGTATCAATGTAAACTGTCACTGAAATATAACAGTATAAAATCTAGGTGAATTTTGTGATTAATGAAGGTTGTAAAGGTTTAAAACGCTGTAATATACTGTGTATCTAAAATTAAATGAATTCTGGGTCCTTTCTATTTTAGTTAGTTTTAGAGTCATGGCAATATATTTCAGTTATTTTAATAATGTTTATTTCAGTTAACAAAAAATATTATTTTTATTTATTATTATTTTTTTGTTTTACTTTTTTTTTTTTTTTTTACTTTTGGGCTTTGTGTATTTTTTTCTTTCAATTTGATCATATAAATAAAAAATGAATACATTACATAGCAATTTAATATTTCCCCCCAAAAAAAGATATTTAATGATATTGCAAATTATATTTGCATTTTTATGTTCCCCTATAAAATATGTATCATATATGGGCAATATGTAAAATATAAAATATTTGTTTTTGGTTTTGAAATATTATTATTAAATGATAGAATTATATATAATTATGAATAAATATTTTGAAAATAATTTATAGAAGTGTCTGTCTGTGTGTGTGTGTGTGTGTGTGTGTGTGTGTGTGTGTGTG